CTGCTTCCGAAGGAGCCCTATCTTCCCCCACCAATGCAGCCACTCACACAGGTAGCCGGTCACGGGCTTGCCGTCATCAAACACAGCCCCGTTCTTGCAGTAATAGTCCGGATACTTGCTCTTCATGGCGGGCTGAGCCATCTGCGGGGTGGAAAGCAGAGGCAGGGAGCCGGGGAGGGAGGGAGGGGAGGCCAAACGGGGGCGGCGCGGCAGGTGAGGTGGCGTGGCGGCGCGGCACGGCATGCCACCCTGGCGCCGTGCGGGCCTCTGGGGGACTGCCGATCCAGGCGCCTGCTCCCAAGGCTCCCCCCACACGGCCTCAGCTGCCTCGGCTGAAACTACAGCGCCTCCCTGCTCTCTTGCCTGGATAAAGTATGCCTGCAGGGTGGGGCAGGGAGGGGAGCAGCCAAGGGGCGGAGGAGCTCAGCTCGGTGGCTCGTGAACAGCAGGTGAGGCGCTGGCCAGCCGCTGCAGCACCGCACGCAAGCATGGTAGGCGGGCAGGCGGCCTGGGGGCGGGGGTGCTCACGTCGATGACGGCGCAGCCGATCACAACCTCCCTGTCGTTCTTGTTCTTGTGGAAGCTGCAAGGGAAGACGAACGGGGGAAGGTAGGGGGCAGGGAGGGGGCATGCTGCGATGGACGACTTGCATACGTGGCGGGGGCAGGTAGGTGCAGGCGGACGGGCGCTGGCCGCCGGGGCACGGGCTGCTGCCAAGTCCTGCGCGAGGCCGCCTGATTGCGCCGCTTGCTGCCAGCTTCCCGGCCACTGCCAGCGACCTGCCAGCTTCCGGCGGCGGCGGCTCACCCCTTGGGGCACTTTGAAATGTTGGGGAAGGGGGTCTTGGCGCCGGGCACATACTTGGTGGCGCTGAGGGGAGGGGGAGCGGGGCAAGGCGCACCGCAGCTTGCCAGCTCAGCGCAGCCAGGCGCCGAGCCAGCAGGCGCGTGTGGGGTGCACAGGTGGCAGCAGGAGCGGTGGCAGCAAGAGGGCCCCGCCACACTACTCCCCCTCCCCTGGCCAGTGCAGTACAGCGGGCAGGTTGCAGTACAGCCAGCCTTGCAGTGCAGCCCGTCTGGCAGTACAGCGGCCCAAAGCTCACTTGACAGCCTTCACGGTCTGGCGGCTGCCGCCGAGGAGAGGGGGAGACGGGTCGAGCTGCGGCATGGGGGATAGTGCAGCGGCAGGCTGAGGCCCAGCACCCGATTTGCCCCGGCAGCTGGCAAACAGCCCAGCTGGCAAGGCAGCCGCTGGTCGGCAGCCGGCCGGCAGCCGCAGCCAGGCAGCCCAGGCGAAGCACGGCACGGCCCAGGCTTTGGCAGCCGGCGGCGCCGCCGGGCAGGCCTGCTGGGCGGCCCGTTGGCTGCGGCCGCCGGCGGCTCCAACCGGCTGTACATGTGAGCTGCGGCAGCAGGCTCACCGGGGGCGCCTTGTCCACGCAGCCCTCGGCGTTGCTGCAGGCCTGCCCCTTGGAGCACTTGTACACGCGCCCGCTCTTGCAGTAGTACTCTTCACTGATGCAGCCGTTGTTGCCACCCCTGTAGCAGCCGGTCAGGATGATGTCGACCTCCTGGAGGGAGCGGGCGTGCGCCGCCGCTGCCAGCAGCAGCAGCGGCAGGAGAGTAGCGAGCAGCTTGGCCATCGTTGCCTGCAGGCGCGGAGGCGGGCACACAGGGCCGGAGGGGTGAGCGCGAGGTGGGGGAGGCGTGGTGGGTGAGGAGGCATGTGTGCCAGATGGGTGGGGCCCCAAGCATCCCCGCCGGGCGGCGCCGCCTCCTGTTGTACTGTGGGGAATTGCGACCAACACGCCTCGCCCCCAGGCTGCCGCACCCGCCCTTGTGAGCATTTGGTAGCCCCAACACAAACTCCTCCTGGCGGGATCGCCGGTTCAGCGTGAGCCCCCTGGGGCATGCCATCACGGCCCGCGCCCCCCCCTCCACCTGGCCACTGGTTGCCCAGTGCAGCGCACCTTGATCGGATGCCGAAGCTTTTTGCGGGCCAATTGAGGCGAGAACTGCACGAGGACGGGGAGCCCTGGTGCGGGCTTGCCAGAAGGAGTTTCGCTTGTGCGCGGCGATTGAGCCTTCTGCCAGCGAATCAAGTGCACGAGGGTGCAGGGGTGGCCGTCACAGGGGTGGCCGTCGTGTGACGGTGTGATTTCAAAGTTCGCCCTGCCCTGCACAGCTGGCAATCTCCACCAGGGTAGAGCAATGCGAGCCCTCTGAGTTTGAAACACCCCTGCTGCGCTGCCAGACCTTCAGCTTAGGGCACAAAAGAGGATGCAGGGGTGGGGGGCCAGGCGGCAGTCGGCTGGGGCGGTCATCAGCGGGCACGGCACACGCCCCGTACCAAGCGGGTTGCTTGCTTGCTTGTGTGGGCTTAAAGTCTGGTAAAGCAAGAACTAGCTTGCAACATAGACTCCCCGCCGAAACGGGACGGGAACCGGGCGAAAGCAGAGAAAGCAATAAAACAGGGGTGGAGCAAGGCGACATGCAACGCAAGCAGCTGACAGGGCACGCATCGAAACGTGTGTATGACTGGCAAAGTGGCATGGCGCATTGGGGAGAAACGCAACGGTACGGGAGCATGGGCTGGCCAAACGGCAGTGCGGAACGCTAGGTCACTAGAAAAGCAGGGAAAGGCGCACTATGTATGCAATGAGGGCAGCCCCGGCTCGGGGCCGTTGAGAAAGCAGTGGGCGGGAGGGGGGAGGCCCCGGTGTGGGCGGGCCCCATCGAGGGGGGATGGGGCGCGCAAGCGGCCAGATGGGGCGGGGCGCGGGCGGCAGTGGAGTCCTGCGGCTGGGTGGGATATAGGGCAATGAGCGTTGAGCAGTGTGCGATGAGCAATGAGCAATGAGCAGTGAGCAGCCCCTCCCTAAACAAAGTGAAGCGCAGGACGGGGTCCGGTGGATGGGAGGCAAGGAAACGCGGGGGGTTGCCACGTGCGCTACCGCCGCCGCCGCAGGCAGCACCCCTGCGGCGGCGGCAGCGGCAGCAAGCCGTGGACCCAAACGCCGTGCCGCCGCCGCCGCAGGCAGCACCCCTGCGACGGCGGCGGCAGCAAGCCGTGGACCGAAACTCCGTGCCGCCGAGTCCCGTGGCTGTGGCCGTGGGCTTCTGGCAGGAAACTACGGCCGCAGCTCGGCAGCACGGGGGCGTCGCAGCGTGCCGCCGCCGCCGCGCTGCCCCCCCGGGCACGGCGGCGGCGGCAGCAAGCTTGGGCCCAAACGCCGTGCCGCCGAGTCCCGTGGCTGCGACCGTAGACCGTGGGCCGGAAACTGCGGCCGCAGCTCGGCGGCACGTGGTTCTGGTCAAATCGCCAAGCGTGCAGCAGCGCCGAACCACGCTTCCCGGCCTCGGCGCATGCCTTCAGGGGCCCCCTATCGCTGGGCACACCCCTCCAACACCGAACATGCGCCCGGGGGGGAGGGCGGCCCGGGCGGCCCAGGCCAAAGTGGGCCGCCCTCGAGCAAGAGGCGGCCGGGCTGTGTGCTGAATGAATGAATGACGTCCCAGCCTGGCCGATTAGGAAACTAGCAGCAGCAGTTGGCTCAATGAGTGGCGTGAATGTTACAAAAGAGGGGAGCTTAACGGAGCATTAAACAACCGCTTCGCGGAGCCTCCACAAGCAGCAACATATCGATCGGCTGGGACAGGCGCCGGAGCAGAAACCCGGGCCGCTGCGGCAGAGCGAGGGGGCGAGCCGGCGAGGCAGCGGGGCCGCAGTGCGCAGTGCAGTGCGGAGCCAGTATGGTTGAATATGGAAAGAAGGCGTCGAGGGGTGCAGCGCTGGGTGCTGGGTTAACACAGGGGGGAGGTGGTGATGGATGAGGTGGAGATGCGTGTGCAGGGGCCAGTCGGTTGTGGGTACTGAACGGGGGAAGGTGAGGTAACATACCAGACAGCAGGGAAGAGGTGTACTGGGCGAAGGGGTGAGGCTGCATCCATCGAAATGCGAGGCTGCAGCGGCAGCAAAAGGAGGTGCGCGGGCGTTGGATGGCCGGGCTGGGCTGGCGGCAGCCGAGGAGGGGCGCCAGGGGCAGGGTGGAACGGAGACAGAAAGAGGCTGAGGCACTGGCAGCAGCGCCGCGCCGCGGGACGTGGTGGATGCGGGGAGCGGCTGCATTTATGAAGGGGCACGTGCGTCGACGAGGAGTCAGCAGAGAGACGGAGAGGGACAGTGTGGAGGAGGGGGTACGAAGGGGGTGCTGCCATCTGGCGCGTTACAGAGCAAAGAAGAAGGCGGCGCGGGGCAGGCGGAAGGCAGCTGCCTGGCGAGGGGCACGTGCGCGAGGTGGAACGGCCACCTCAGCAAAGGGTGCGAAACGAGGGGGGAAGGGCAGTCTACGGATGTGTCGGCATGGGACGGAACGGGAGGGACGTACTGGCAGGGTGTAATGAATCGCGCAATGCTGGCCCTGGCGCTGCTTTAGCGGCAGGGTGCGGGCATGCAGACGGCAGTGAAAAGAGGTGCGCTGAGGGGAGGGCTGAAAGACGCAGGAAAAAGGGGAGCAGGCGGCGGCACCCATAGGTGGCCGGCCAGGCAGGGCCGGCGAGCGTCGCGCCGCAGCAGGGGAGCTGCTGGTGAGCAGAGAAAGAGATGCGTAAAAAGATGCGTATTAGTATGTGTTGCATGCATGGAGCGGCATCATAGGCGCCGCTAAAGGCATGTGGGGAGGGGGTGGGCGGCGGTGTGGCTGCGGGCAGCGTGTGGAGCTGCCCGGGGACGTGTTTGGCGGCGCCCGCTGACTGACGGCGGCGGAGCCGACAACGCGAGAGGGGCGCGCAGGCGGCTGCCTGGCGGCAAACCAAAACAATCAAGAGGGACGATGAGGCGGCAGAGGCGCAGGCGGAAGGAGGCCGGCGCCGCAGCATGCGGCTGCGCGTGCGGAGCGCCCTGGCACAGGCCGAGACGTAGCGGGCCCGCCCTCCGCGCTGCGCCTCGCTCTTGCCTCGCCGCCGCCGCGGGGCCTCGGCAGGGGGCCGCGGGGCGCCAGCTCAGCAAGCGGCCCTCGCGCCGCCGCCGGCTTGCTCCTGCGCCTGCCACGCCGCAAACTCTTCCGGAGATACGAAGCGGCCCTTGATGCGGGGCCGCATGTCGGCATAATGCTGCGGGAGGCGGGCAGGCGGGGAGCGGCGGGGGAGGAGCGGGGGGTGAGCGAGGAGTGTGCGGGGCAGGGGTTGTGGCGAGGGGGCTGGCTGGCTGCCACGCAACCAGGAGCGTTGGCTGCCACACAACCGGGCAGGCTGCAGGGCTGCGCAGGCAGGCAGCTGTGCCACCTCGCACAGGGCCATGGGCCGCACACACAGCCCGGCGCCCCACCTTGCGGCACTGGTAGCGCACGGTGGGCTGGAACTTGCGGCGCAGCTTCTTGGCACGGTACCGCTCCAGCTTCTCGGCACGCGTCTCTCCCTCGCGGTACGGCGGGATCACGATGCACAAGGCGCCGTCGCTGCCCTCGCCGCCCGCCTCCACCCCTGCCGCCCGCCGCGCGCGCGCGGCGGCTGCGGCTGCGGCTGCGGCGGCGGCCGCAGCTGAGCCCTCCCCCGCCGCCTCGGCCGCGGCCGTCGCTGCCACCTTGACCGCCGCGCTGAGAGCCGCGGGGCGGGTGGGGCGCCGCACGGCCGCGCCGCCGGGCAAGCCCTTGCCAGGGCTGCCGCCGCCGCCACTGCCAGTGGCGCCGCCGGGCATGCGTTGCCCTCTGCCGCTGCCGCCGCCGCGCCGCCTGTCGGCCTTGCCGCCGCGCTTGGTTGGGGCCGCCGCCGCCGCCGTGGCAGCAGCGTGCAGCCCCGCGGGCGGCTGGAGGCCGGTTGTGACTGAGGAGGGACCTGGTGCGGCGGTGGCGGGTGCGGCCGCGGCGCCGCCAAAGCCGCCGCCGGTCGTCACGGCGACCATGGCGGCCGGCTGGGCGGCGGCGGCGCCGCTGCTGCTGCCGTGCAGCAGCACGCCGCTGCCGCCTCCCGCTGGCGGCAGCAGCAGGCTGCCAGAGGGCTCGCGGGGCCACAGCCCGCTGGCCATCTCCGCCAGAGCCTCGCCCGCGGCGGTGGCGGTGGGTGGCGGCGGCGGCGTGCCGCTGCCGCTGCTGCCGGTCGTCACCAGCGCCCATTGGCGGGAGGAGGAGGAGGCGGGCGGGGGCGGCAGGCCGCAGCTCGGCTCCCGCTGCAGCAGCCCGCTGCCTGCCTCCCTGTCTGGAGGAGGCTGGAGCGTCGGGCCCAGCAGCAGCCTGTCGGCCGTTTCCCGAAGCTCTGCCGGCAGCAGGCCCGCCGCCAGCTGCTGCTGCGCCTGCTGCTGCTGCGCCTGCGCATGCGCCTGCTGGCAGCGGCCTTCGAAGAGCGAGCCAGCGAGGGCGGGCCCCGCCTCCTGCTGGTGGTGGTGGTGGTGGTGGTGGTGCTGGGTGGCGGCCGCGGCGGGGCAGGCGACTGAGCGGGAGGATGGAGAGGGCAGCAGGGCTGCAGCCCAAGCAGGCGTGGGGGGCGGGGCAGGGTGGCATTCACGCGAGGCAGGGCGGCAGAGCGGCAGCAGCATGCACCATGCCCATAAGCCTGCTGGTGCAAGCCACCAGGGGAGAGCCACGAGGGGGGCCGCACATCCGGGGGAGAGCCGCAGCAGGCCTCCCCGCCAGCCGCACCCTACCCTCCCGCCGCCACCCGCCTGCCGCCCAGCAGCCCCCGCCGCAGCACAGCCCCGCCAGCCCTCTGCTCACACACACCCTGGCAGTGCCCGGAGAGGCCGCCGCTGCCCGCGGCGCCGACGCCGTGAATCATCTCAACATCAGCCTCAGCCTCCACTCCAGCCTCCGCCTCGGCAACCGCATGCGCGGGCGGCTGCTGCAGCCCCGGCTGGCTGGCGGGGGCGCCTGCGCGCCGCCCGGCGAGCCCCAGCGTGGGCAGCTGGGCTAGCTCGAGGTTAAAGTCCAGCAGCGTGGAGCCGTCAGCGTGGGCCAGCCCTTCTAAACAGTCCTGCGGCGGGAGGCGGGGGTGGGGGGCAGGCAGGTGGGGCGCTGGCGGGGCGGGTGGGGCGGGCGGGTGGCGGGGCCAGAGATGCAGGAGGGCCCGGAGCAGGAGCGCTTGCTCGCAAGAGCCCCAGCTCACAGCGGGAACCCAGCCATGTGCTGGCTGCGGCCAGCTGCCGCCCAGCTTCCCGCCCAGCCGCCGCCTAGCTGCCTCACCATGAGCACCGCGTCCAGGCTGCCGCCGCGCGCCGCCGGCGGCGCCGCCGCCGCCTCCCACCGCGTGTCGTCGCTGCCGGCGCTGCCGTGGCGCAGCGAGGCGCCGGCGCCGCCGGCCGCCGCCCATGCATCGCCCGGCTGCTGCGGCAGCGGCGGCGGCGGCAGCAGCTGCTTGGACAGGAAGCAGAAGGGGGAGGCGGAGGTGGGGCCGCTGCTGAGCAGGCACGATTTGTACTGCTGCGTGTACTGCTGCGTGTACTGCTGCACCGCCCCCGCCGCCGCCGCCATGACGCCGGCCAGGCCGGGGCCGGGGGGCTCGTGCCTGCGGCGAGGCGCGGCACGCCCGGGCAGCGGGGCACGGTGAGGGCGGGGCAAACAGGGAGCCGCGCTGCGGGCTTGGAAAGCGCCAGGGGAAGGTGGACCCAAAGGAGGGCGAGGCTGGCGGGGCTCGGAGGGGGTGCGGCATGACAGGTCCCCGGCAAGCCCCAGCCCTGCTAATTGTGTTGCTGTTGGGCGTCCTCCCCACCTGAGCGCCTGGGGCTGCGGCGAGGGCTGGCGGGCCGACGATGCGCCGCCGCCGGCGGGCAGGCCGGGGCGGCAGGCGGCGGGCACGCGCTCGTGCGCCGCCATGATGGCGCTGCTGCTGTGCAGGTGTGCGTCGCAGCCGGCGCACAGGTAGGCGTCGTCGGCGCGGCAGTAGAGCGATGCGGGGGCGTGGCAGAGCACGCAGGGGGAGGCGGTGAGGCCGCGCAGGGCAGCATCTGCCGCGCCGCCGTGCATGGCCGCCTGCGGTGGGCGGCGGGGAGGGGCGCATGAGTGCGGCAGCCTTGTGCCCACACCCCTGGACGCGTTCCACGGGCCGTGGGGGGGTGTGGGGCGAGAGCCAGGCACGCGGGCTGGGCATGGTACTGGCACCCGGCGGCCCCCTAGGGTGCATGGAACACGCGCAGCATCGACCCGAGAGCCCCTTCAGATAACCCGGGCGGCGCAAGGGGAGGCGAGGGCTGTGTGGGTGGGCTCATCGCGCACCCGCTGCCTCGACCTCGCTTGCAGAGCCCTCCTCTCCGTCCCTGCTGGCTTTGCGTCAATTGGACGACACCAGGCGGTTAGCAGAGGGGCGACGCGTGCCAGCAGCGAGGCATGGAATGGAGGATGAGGTCAGCGAGGGCCCCGGCGGGGCTGGGGCTTTGCCGCAAGGACAGTGGACATTCAGCGAACTGCTGGAGTGGAACGGAGCTCAGTTTCTTCAGGCGGAGCACGAGCAGGTTCCCAACGAGTTCCTCCGGCGCTAAGCCTTACTCCTGGGCCTCCAGGGTGACCGGGACCCTTACGTCCGATACGAAGCAGAGCCGCCCTCATTAGGAAGGGCAATGGGAGAGCCGGAGGGACGACGGCCTGAGACCGGAGGCTCGGAGCCAGGCTGGGAAGCAGCTGCTGCAACCTACTGACGGCTCCCTCACTGCAAGCGCGCGTACTAAGCCTAAAACTGGGCCGGTATGGCCAGTGAAGCATTGGGAAGCGGCGCAAGGCCGACACGCTGGCACAGGGCTGGCCGCCCGCTGCACGACCGCGGCGGTGCTACAGGGCTCCCCAGCTGCTGCCCCTGTTCGCCTGCCCTCCCCTACGGTGCCCCGTGCCGGCCAGCAACCGTCTCACACAATCCATCATTCATACTGGGCTGACGGCACCTGTGCACGCCACCTCTGGCAGCACAGCTGCAGGAGCCCGGGTCGCTGCCAGGATGCAGGCGCCACCCACCAGGCTGGCTGCTGCCGATCTCGCGCTCGCCCACACAGACGCAGCACCGAGCGCCCTGGCAAGGCTACTCCTCATCGCCCTCTGTGCCCTCCCCTGCCGCCTTGAGGCACCGCATCAGCAGGCCCGGGCTGCTCAGGATCTCGGCCAGCCGCGGGAGCGCCTGCGGTGGGTAGGGAGCACAATTGGGCGGCAGTCAAGCACATACAAGTTCTACCCCAGCAGCATGTGCAGCGCCCAGCAGGACACCAGAAAAACAAAGGGCAGAGTGCAGGCAGGCAAGGGAAGCGCAGGCGCGCAGCAGGTCAGAACAGAAGGTCGCAGGGCGCGGGCAAACCAGGGCAGGCAGGCAGGCAGGCAGGCAGGCATCACCCACCTGCTCCACAAAAGCGCTGAGCTCCCGGCGCACCGCACTCTCGCAGGCCGACTCCAGCCCTGGCACCGCCGACGCTACCTCCTGCTGCACCCGCCCCGGCTCGCTGCCGCGCTGCCCCTGCAGCTGTGCCAGCTTCTGGGCAGCCGCCTGCTGGTAGTGGGCCTGCGGGACATGGCAGGGAGCGGCAGGGCCAGTGGTGGAGAGGCAGTCGGTCAGGCCAGGCCCAGCACAGCAGCCAGCAGCCAAGGATGCATCACATGCAGAGACCAGGGCGGCTAGCCCCAGCAGCCAGGCAGCCAGGGACAGCCAGACCAGCTGACAGGGTGAGGCAGGGCAGCTGGAAGGCGCTGCCGGGGCCAGTCAGCAGCCATCCTCACCTGCACGTGCGCCGTCTGCCACTCCAGCACCTCAGTCAGCACAGCCTGCAGGGTGGCGGCATCTGCAGCGGCCTCCCGGCTGCCGCCGAGCCGCGCCAGCGCCGTTTGCAGCAGGCGGGCCTGCCGCCGGCTGATCCCAAAGCCTGGCAGCTCGGGTGAGGCGGCACGCGGAGGCAGCACCAGCGCTGGCTGCTGCTGCTGCTGCTTGTCTGGCCTTGCTGCAGGTCCTTGTGGCGGGCTGCCACCACCCTGCTTGCGTCCGCCAGCAGTGCTGCCATGGCTGCGAGAGGCGCTACTGTGGGCTCCGGGGCTGCCAGCCCGGCCAGCTGGCCGTGGCGGCGGGGGTGAGGGTGGGGGTGAGCCCGCACGCTCTGCTGCCGCACCAAGCTGCGCCCTGAGATGCTGCAAGCGGCCCAAGGCTTCATCAGAAAAGGTCTGATCCACCACTGCCGATAGCGCCCCGGCGCTGCCTCCGCTGACACTGCCTCCTCCACTGCTGGTGCCCGCGGCGCCGCTGGCGACGCCGCCGGCTGCCGGCAGCTGGCCACGGGCGCTGGCAGCAGCGGGGGAGGCGGACCGCGAGGCGAGGCGCAGCAGCTGGAGGTCTGCTGAGGCGGCTTCGCCAGCTGTCGCCAGCTGTCGAGGCTCGGGAGCGGCGCCCCCGGAGCGGCTGGGCCCCTGCCCTTCCACCTCTTGCTCCTCTGTTGCCTCCCCTGTCGCCCACTCGCTGCTGCTGCTGCTGCTCAGCCACACGCCGCCGGCCCGCCCACGCCTGCCGCTGCGAGCGGTCTGCCAGCCCTCCGCGCCGCCGCCGCTGGGGCCGCTACGGGCGGTGTGCCAGCCCTGGGCGCCGCCGCTGCGCGCCGTCTGCCAGCCCTGGAGCCCTGTAGCTGCTGGCCGCCGGTGCCAGCTTGGCTGGGGAGGCTGGGCGGCTGTCCAGGATGGCTTGAAGGTCCAGGCTGCCTCCCCACTTGGAGCTAGCAGCCCCAGGCGGGACAGCTGGTTTCCACCGGCGGCTCAACTCAACTGGCTCCTCTGCCGCTGCCGCTGCCACCAGGGGGGTGTCGCTCCGGCAGGGGGATGCAGCTTCCGAGGAGGTGGCAACCGACGGGCTGCGCGGGCGGCGGCGCGAGGCCTGCTGGCGCTGGGAGGGCGGGGAGGTGGTGCTGCCGCCGACGCCCACAACCTCGGTGCCAACCAGCGAGCTGGCCACTGGCTGGGCAGCCGGCCCGGCCACTGCCTCTGCTGCTGCCGCCGCTGCCGCGACGGCGCCCTGGAGTCGCGTGCCCAGCTGCTGCTGCTGCTTTGGCTGCTGGCCCTGTTGGTACTGCTGCTGCGGTTCAGGCGGTACTGCCAGGGAGCCACGCAGAAACTGCTGCACCTCGGCCTCCGACTCGTGCCGCAGCACTGCAGGCGGGGCGGCAGGCATAGCCCCAGCAGGTCAGGACAGGGTATCTGCACATGCACTCTCACTATACTGCTAAAGGTGCAAGCAACCTCCGCCAGGTGTGCGCTGCACGCAGGTGCTGGCACCAGTCTGGGCTGCACCGCCCTTTGCCCCGACCCAACAGCCACCCTGCCAGCCCTGCACCCCCACCGCCAGCTCAGCGCGCACCTCCAAAGCCACTGCCCAGCGAGCCCAAGGACTGGAGCGGTCCGCCGCCGCTGAGCTGCGGTGAGGGAGAGCGGCGCGGGGCGCTGCCGGGGCGCTGCCGCGGCTGCGGCTGCCGCGCGGCGGCCAGCTTGTGCTTGCGGGGCAGCATGCCGGGCATGCCCTGGGTGGCTGCGGAGCCCGGGCGGCTGGAGCCAAACAGAGGGTTGCTGACAGCCAAGACCAGGCCGGGGCCCCCCAGGGAAGTACCTGCCAGCTCATCCTCCTCGTCCTCGCCTCCCTCCTTGCCCTCCTCCTCCGCACCAGACAGAGCCGCCGCCTCAACCTCCGGAGACAGCCGGCTGCGGCTGGGGTAGTAGCCGCCTTCGCCGCAGCTGGAAGCAGGGCTGCCAGACGACGGAAGCCCGCCGCCACCGGTCGTCTCCTCCTCCACCTCTAAGCCCTCCTCCTCCTCCTCCTGCTCCTCGCCCGACTGCTGCTGGGTGCGGCCCGGCTGCTGGGCGGCGCCGCCGCCTGCTGGGTTAGAGCCATTGCCCTCCTCCACTCGCCTCTGGATCTGCACACAGAGTGGAAAACGCCGGAAGTCAAGGGAGAAAGCTTAGGTTGGCGGAGGGCAATCGGGGGCAAGGGACCCCCGCCCGCCATAGCCGGCGGCTCAGCACAGCTGCGGCCTCGCCACATAGCGGCGCTGGCAGCAGCAGGCGGCACCGCTGGCACAGCGGCCGCGAGCAGCAGCAGCAGCAGGCTGCTCTACTGGCGCAGCGGCCGCTGGAAGCAGCAGAGCAGGCCCGCGGTTACCTCCAGCATGTTGAGCTGCAGCTGCTCCTGCAGGCGCCGCAGCCGGCCCATCTCGCCGTCGCGAGCCTCGCCGCCACGCCGCCGCTTGCTGCTGCTCCCCGCGCCGCCTCGCGCCAGCAGCCTGCGGCCGCGGCCTGGGTGCGGTGCTGTGCTAACGCCACCCTCCTCCTCGGGAGGAGCCTCGGAGATGGCGCTCAGAGCAAGGTCCAGCGAGCGGCGGGGGTTGAGGGCTTGGTCGGGCTGCGACTGGGGCCTGTCACCGCCGCCGGCGCCAAGCGCAGCGGCAGGGGCCCCGGCAGGTCCGCCTGGCGGCAGCTGCAGCTCCTCTTGCAGCTCTGCCAGCTGCTGCAGCTTGCTGACGGCACGCGTGACCATCGCAGTCAGGGGTCCCGGGGCCGGGCGGCTGCTGCCGGCCTCCTGCCGATCCTCCTTCTCCTGCTGCTGCCCGTGCTCCTCCTGCTCTGCATGACCGGGGCTGGCACCCTCCCTTGCCGGAGCCGCTGCTGCTCGCGTGGCCACAGGCTGGCGGGCGGCGTCAGCCGATGCCGGCTGCAGGGCAGGCGGCGAGGGGAGCTCTGCCTCTTGCTCCTGCTGCCGCCGTGGCCTGCTGGGGGATGCAGCCCTGCTGCCGCTGCCACCTTGCACCATGCCAGCAGCGGGCCCAGGTGTTGGCGAGCCAGGCCTGCTGCCAGCGCGGCTGCTGCCCTGCGCCATGCCCACAGCAGGGGCAGGCGGCGCTGGCGAGCCGGGCCTGCTGCTGCGGTCCCAGTCAGGGAGGCCAGCTGCCGAGCCCTCCCCAGTCGGGCGCAGGCCTGCCGCCCATCGCACAGACGCACCGTGCTGCTGCGGCGGCAGGGGGCCC